TATTTTAAAAAAGGAACCTTTTAAAAAAAAAAAAAAAAAAAAAAAAAAAGTGGGTTGCCTTCCTATTTTCATTGACTTTTCCAAATGCTTTTTGAGCTTTTTTATTTCTCTATCGAACGTGAAAGAACAATTTTCTATAAGTGAATTAATTTTCAAGAACATAAAGCTGAAAATACGAAAGTAAGTGAGTCAAGACTCAACTAGTGTGGCGAGAAGCGTGAAAGAAAATACGACTAAGCTTTGTTGATTCTAAAAGAATACAAAGCGACACAATTAACATTCCAGTTTCTATTGATTCGTAATAATGACAAAAAACTAGGCATCAGACATGTTTATTTAGTGTATAGATACCAAGAATTTGGGGAAAACCCTATTATTGTGAAATATATAATTGACCATAACTAAATTGATACTTGACTGCAAAAAAAAAAATTAACCAAAGCTATATAAATTAAACCTGTCCGTGCCAATCCTATGGAATCATTAACTATCACAAATTTGTGCTACAAAATATCGATTGGACGAGTTGCACAAGATTGTTTGGCTCCAGACATAAATAATGACAAACTATAACTCAAAGGAAAATGCAAGTTGTCCCACCTCAAAAACAGATCAAAATTCAGGGTGCCGAGGTGGCAACACCTCGGCCCTTGAATATGAAAAAAAAAATGAAGTTGAAATCGGGGGCTAAGGTCCCCCTGTTTTTTGGTCGGTTCCCGAGCCTGTGCCTATAGCACGGCTGATAACTCAAATCTAATTTACAATTTTGCTACATGAACATCAAGACTTACATAATGATTTACATAATGTTACATGAAACTATATCATTAGACAATTTAAAACATGGTAAGTTTTTTTTTTATGCAATTATTTCCCTCCAACTCATCTTATGACATTGCTTCTGGACAATTTCTTCTAGAAAAAGTAGATTTATTCCAATTTAATAGTGTGATTATGCTAAGATAAAGCCAAAAGGAAACCGGCTGACAATTTCTTCTATAAATTTGAGCTTCTACTTGAAAAGAAGATACCCCTTTAAGTACAAAGTTTCAATTTTAGAAATATTATATCTAGGCACTATAGTACTCTCTCTCTCTCTCTCCCCCCAAATATATGCAATTACAAAGGTAAACAAATGTAAGTAAAGCTGAACCTTAATGCATTAAAAGGTAAAATGAATAGTGAAAAGGCTGTGCAAAATTCAAATTGAATCAATCAATTGCATTTTTAAAAATTATATTTTTTGAAATATTTGTACGGGGCATGCACCTGAAGTCAAAGAGCACAACTTTGTAAGAGTCTAAAGAAGCTTTTAAACCTGTGCATACTTTGTCTAAGTTGTGTATTGATTTTATAAAAAGCAAAAGTGATTACAAAGTTTAGTTTCGTATATGTTCGTATTCAAAAGTGAAAATACCATTTCATATGTAAAAGAGTACTAGTTGTTTTGATTTTTGACTTATTGAATGGTCACCACGTTCAAATTATATAACAAGGGTGATACGTACAAATAGTATAAGACCAAGATAAAATCAATTACAATTACAAAAGATAATCTTACGTTATTTCACAATCACCAACTTCTCCCTTAACTGCCCAGCTCTATAAGGGCTTTAGTAGAGAAGGTCATCCACCACGTCTTATCGATTCTTCGAAGATCATAGCTTAATTGGTTCTAATATGTATGTCGAATCCTTCTGTCATAATCGAGATTAGATTGGGTTTGTTCACGTTCAGGCAGAATTTCAATTACATCTTTTCAATTTCGGTTCAATATTTGAAGCTCAAACGAGATGGTTGGAAAATAAGCGTGAAGATAAACTAGCTTTTGCCCTAACCAAATTTAAATGCACTAACCAAAGAATTTTTACATACATCATTACAATATTAGGCCTATTGCCCCCACCAATTTGAGGGTGTTCTCACTTTATGGGACAACAAACTCCATGCATTATAAACTTTCATACTACTTTCTGGGTGGACGTGTACAAATTAATCAAAAGCGTGCATATTTGTGTTTAGTAATGTGGATATCGACTATATAATTAATGTTTAGCAATGTGGATATCAACTATATAATTAATCAATTTCTTTGAACCCCATTTTTTTTCAAAAAAAATGCATTTTCAAATAATGTTATGATGAGAAATGTGTGATTAAAAAATAAGAAAAAGTTTTGAATTTACGTGTAATATTATTTTATTGAAAAATATGTGATTGAAATGAGATCAAATCACTGTTGAATAATGTATTTTTGATGAGAAAATGGGGTCAAACAAGGGCAATATTTTATGTACTAAATATGAGTGTTGCGTGCAATAAAATTTGTCAATTTTTTTACTTTTATGTTCTCAACCCAAATCCCAAAAAAAATTGTTTAAAAATTGAATAACATTTAGGTTATTTAATTAATTGATAGACAAGATCATAAGAAATAATCCATTTGATGTGAGTGTAACATTGTCAATCCAATGTACTGACTTTTGAAATAAGGTCAGTTGTCGTTTCTAAGCAATTTGTGCCAACCTTGATTTTTGAGTCTTTCAACACGATTTACAAGAGATAGCGTCTTGTTTCTTGCTAATTATTTGAAAAGAAAGGGCAAACTGTCCGCTGACGGTTTAGAAAATTTAAGCAAGTTGGCAAATTCAAAGCTTATTTGGTAGAGTTTTTAAGTCAATTAAAATCAATTTTTTGATCGTTATTTTACTATTTCAGCCATCATTTTTGAATTCATCTTTCACAGGTAGGATCTATTTTATCTCTAACAGTCAAAAATTAATTATCAAAATTCTTACCAAACAAGCACTCAACCTGATCATTGATTTTGTTATGGTAAGAAATCGTTACAAATTATTAAGTCAATTAATAAATCGTTACTTCAATGGGTGAGTAGAGTTTTTAAGTCAATTAAAATCAATTTTTTGATCGTTATTTTACTATTTCAGCCATCATTTTTGAATTCATCTTTCACAGGTAGGATCTATTTTATCTCTAACAGTCAAAAATTAATTATCAAAATTCTTACCAAACAAGCACTCAACCTGATCATTGATTTTGTTATGGTAAGAAATCGTTACAAATTATTAAGTCAATTAATAAATCGTTACTTCAATGGGTGAGTAGTTAGACTCAAAAGCTTTGAAAGAATTATTTTTGAACCACAAAAATATATCCGGAATGAGATAAAGCTGTAGGTTCAATTCGGTTACCCTTGTTGTATTGAGGGAAGGCAGGGCTTGCTTCCTTCGAGAGATATGACCAAGTGTTCCCCATACTCGATCTCATAGGACCTTTGTTGTGTGCTTCTTTGCATCACTTTGTCCCCTTTTGTAGTGCCTTTTCGGGTTTTCTATGATTCTCCGTTAACATGCCAAAAAGTGAAAGTAGGGTCATATGTGCGGATACGGTAATATAAACTCACTGAACACCATTCAACTTAAAGATAATGACATGCTGGGCCTTTCTTTGCTAGGAGGAGTGGCCCAATCACTAATAAATCTCTCAACGAGAGTTCATTCTGTTTTTTCTAGAGGAAGTTGATTCAATGGATCTGCTTGACTAATTCATAAGAGATAGGAACGCACAAGCACAGGTGAGAGGGAAGATTACCTTCTGACAAGGGGTTGGCCAAGATTTGATATTTGCTTTTGTCTCTCCCATTTCTGTGACCAAAATTGCTTTGACTTATTCGACTAGGCGGGGAAGGTCTGTCCCTTTTCCATCGGAAGAAAGTAGATGATCACATGGGCGAATGAATCAAAGAAATGGAAACTTCTTCATCCTAGAAAGCGGAGTTACTTCTTGAATCTTTGAATAGAGAGACCCATTAACCAGACAATTTGGAAGAAACAAGCTACCTCACAGAAAGGATGATGAAAGGGTCAATTGACGTAGCAAGCTAGAGCTATGAAACCGCCCCTTTCTCATTAACTCATCAGATTATGAATCAGATATTCAAACGTCAACTTGAAGGCTATGATTCCCTTATTCTGTTTAGGGTCCTTGTTACAAGGTTGGGTTTAGGCCTTCTAGGGCCTTTGAAAGGGACCTAACAAGATGCCATTCGAGGGTTGGATAAGCAAACTTGGCAAAAGGATCACTATTTCAATTGATGCTCTGTTGTAGAATTCTCAAATTA